TGATTTTGTGTGTATGTGTATGCATGTGTGCACACAAAACTCAGGGCTTTTTTTCCACTGCCATGATGCTAGATAAATGCCAAAGTTAACGTATGAAGATATCGCAGAAATAATAACAGGAGATGAAAGGCATAGTACTGTCCTAGCTCTTACACAGATTAACTACGTAACCTTGGAGTATCAACTTTCTATTGCTACCATGACAAATGACAAAAAATGTAGTGGCCTAAAACAACATAAAATTTTCCTTTTGCAGTTCTGGAAGTCAGAAGTCTAAAATGAGTGTTACAGGAATAAAATCAAGCTAATTAGCAGGGTACGTTCTGGAGGCTCCACAGGAGAAGTCCCTCTTCTTACTGAAAAGGAATCAGAATCTCAATTCCAGAGATTTTGTTGATTCTCCAAGGGGCACCCAGCTCACTCACGGCAAAGGATCACTAGAATTCAGTCTGCTGACTTTTTCCAGCATGAAACAGAGTCAAGCTGTGTCCCTAACAGTGTAACATGTGGAGTTGCTGTGCCTTTCGATACAAAAAGAGTTGCTAGAAAAGACCTTTATAGAAATCTCCCTATGAAAGCCTAAGGACAACCCTGCAAGATTGGTTTTACTTTCCCTTTTTATAGCGGAGGGAACTAAATCTCAAGGAGCTTACGAAATTTTCTAGAACTGGTGGGTCTAGCCACAGTTTAGAACTGTCCACCTCTGTTGTAAATGCTTTTTTCACTTCTCAGCCTTTCTCTTAGCTGGAGGTCCTCTAGATCTTCCAAGAACCACTGGAGAAATTTTTATTATTTTTTTAAACTGTACTTTAGGTTCTGGGATACATGTGCAGATCATGCAGGATTGTTGCATAGGTACATACGTGGCAAGGTGGTTTGCTGCCTCTATCAGAAAGTTTTAAAGTGATTTTTCTGACCATCTCCCACGTTTAGCTTCTCAAGATGGGAGAGAGGGAAAAGTCCACGAGAAGTGTGAAGCCCTCCTCATGGTTCCCTTATCACAGGCTGGCTCCCAGCTCACCTTTCTGCAGGAAGTGTGGATCATCTCTGTAGAGTATTTTGAAGAGTAAACAAGATATACAAAACATGCTTATCAGGGTGTTCTGTTATGCCGTGTATACTTGATAATGCTTACGCTATACAAGGGTTAATTTTTTTATTTGTGGAAAATTTATACTAATTCAATAGTAAAAATAATATAAAGAACTTACATGTATCTATACTAAAATTCCACAGTTATCAATTTATGCCAGTTTTGTTCAACTATTTGCTCCTGTTTGCAACTCTATCGCAGATTATTTTGAAGCAAATGTCAGACATTTACATCATTTTATCAGTAAATATTTGAATATGTGTCTCTAATAGATAAAGACCATTTAAAAACATATCCACAGTTTCATAAACAGCAACTATAATTTTTAATACTACCAGCTGTATTCAGATTTCCCTGAAGATCTCAAAATGTTTAAAATCGTTTGAGGTAGGATCTAAATAAAATCCACATGTTACAATTATTTGATACCTCCTTACATTTCACTTAATGTGTAGGTTTTCACTTTCCTTGTTTCTTGTGTTAAATGTCTTTGTTTAAAGAAGGGAAGGTCTTTTGTCCAACAGTATTCACTCTGCTGATTGCATCCTAACAATGTCATTTAACATGCGCTTCCAGTGTTTTGTGTGAATTTATATTAATGCGGGGGTTGGATCAGATTAAAATTTGACTTTGTTTTTTTAAGTGGTAATATGTCAAAATCCAGTAGTTTATAATAAATACTATACTAAACTTCCATTAGGAGGCACATAATATATGGGTATCTGTCTTTTTGTCATGTTAGCAGATGTTAATGATTGTCTAGAATGAATTCGTTTCATTAAGAGTTACAAAAAGGTGATATTCTATCACTGTTTCTTTATTTATTAGATGGAGTAGTCCTATACAAAGGAAATTTCTCATTCAGTGATTCTTTCATTTTTGTGAGATATAGTTAAAAGATGAGATATATGGAGAGATGCCAGATGTAGGTGATGGGGAGGAAGGCAGCAAATCACACTGCCACGTGTGTACCTATGCAACAATTTTGCATGTTTTTCACATGTACCCCAAAACCTAAAATGCAATAAAATAAATAAATGGGGGGGAAAAAAAAGAAAAACAAAATAAATGCTTCTTTCTCTTTAGTTGTCAATGTTCGGAATGATGAGTCACACTCCAAAGGGAGCAATTAACTTCTTTCAGGAAGATGGTGTTATTATAAACTACTGGATTTTGACATATTTTAATCCACTGGAACAATCTTTGTTAATGATGCTCAAATTGTTCCATCTTTGTCTGGTTGGAACCCCTTTAAGGTGGTTTCCAATTCCTTCTGATAAAACTAAACAATTTTTAATAGCATCCCTGCTTTCTAATATGAAAAATGTTGTAGGCTAAACTTGTATGTTTACTGGCCCACACCTGGAATCAGTACTTTTTCTTAGAGTCCAAATTTCTTTTGTGGAAAATGCCATTTGAAGATCACAATCTAGGTATTAAGTGCACACATTGCTACTGGGCTCACCATGATTTATACCTTTTAGATGGACTTCAAAACTACACACACGCACCCAAACACATATACACACACAGAGTGAAATTATTAATACTACATTTTCAAGCCTCTTGGGACAATTCTTTTTGGTTCATCCTTGACACAAAATCAATTAGGTTTATTTGTTTCATTTGCTTTTAATTTTTATTGGTGTTTTAAAAGATGATTTTTATTGTATAATTATGTAAACTATTTACATGGTCTCAAGATCAAATTTGCAAAAACGAAGGATATTCACAGAAGTCTCATGCCCATTTTTTGTTCCTGTCCCTTGCACCTTGTTCCTGCCATCTTCATATAAATAACTCTTTTGTTTGTTTAGTTTTCAAATGGTCCTGCCATTGCTTTTCACCTGCACATTAAAATTATTCACATATATAACTAATATTCCTCCTTGTTATATAAATGGTAGCAAATTGTACAGTATTTTCTTCACTTTGCTTTTTTCACTTAACAGTATACCTCAGAGATCTCTTCATACTGGTATATAGATATATTTCTCATTCCTTTTTGCAGTTGGGTGCTACTTTTCTGTATGAATATACCTTAGTTTATTCAACTGGCCCCCCCGATGGGCATCCGATAGGGTTTTGGTCTTCTCCTGTTACTAATAGTAGTGCGTGAATAGCCACATGCATTTTTCCTTCTGTATTTTTGTCATTGCAGCTCTGGGATAAATCCTAAAATTGGGATAGATAATCAAAGAGTAAATGCATGTGTAATTTTTCAAGGTATTGCTACCTTCTCCTCTAGAGGCATTAGATTGTTTTCCCCTTCACACTCGTCATGCAGGAAATTTCCTCTTTCCCCATACCTTTACCACCATATTATGCTGGCACATGTGGACTTTTGCCATACCTATAGTTGAGAAATAGTTATCTCTGAGTAATTTTTACGTTATTCTATGTATTTAATTTATTTTTCTCTACTGTGAATGGACTTGGATATCTTTTTATGTATTCAAGAAACATTTGCATTTCTTTTTTTTCTTTGGCTGTGTGCTCATATCTCACCCAATTTTCTATCAAGTCACTGGTCTTTTGCTTCTCTACTTTTAGATATTCTTCATATAACAGGAAAAGTAGCCTTCTTTGAGATAAATTGGAAAGAATGTTTTCTAGTTTGATATTTATGTTTTAATTTGTCTATGGTGTTGTATGCCTTAAATAAGTTTTTAGAATTTTATGTAATCAAACTTATCAGTCTCTTCCTTATACTATTTTATAGCGTAGTTATAAACATCTTTCCCACTCCCAGATTACAAAGAGTTTACCCATTTTAAATTATTTATATTGGATAGTTTTTACATTTAAATCACTGATCTATTTGGAATTTGTACGACATGAGGAATTGAATGCAACTTTATCGTTAGAATTGCATCCAATTATATGGTGGTATAGTTATCTCAGTGTCCATCATCTTTCCCATTGGTATGAGGTGTTGCTTCACAGAGTGTAAGTTAATGCAATTGAATTGAATATCAATGAATATAAAATGAGCAATGGTCAATTTGTGAATTTTCTTTTTCTGTTTTGTGGCATGTCTCTGTTCACTCACGAATATCACACTGCTTTAATTAGGGAGACTATAATTTTTAATTGTCTAGTAGAGCAGTTTTCCCTTGTTCTTTTCCTTGGTTGTCTAGGCTAACTTGCATTTTCCTTCATCCAAATAAACTTTTTAATCAATTATTTTAGCTACAGAAAAAAAAGATAACAAAATTTAAAAATTCAAATTTATATAAAATAATGTTAAAGAAATATATATATATATATATATATATATATATATAGTTTCTATTCTATAAACTAATTTAAACATGAATCAGTGTTAAATTTGGCCTAATATCTTTCCTGCATCTAGCTAATGTTCTTCTTAGCCTATTAACAGGATGTGTTGTAACAATCAATATTCTCATATTGACCCACCACAGTATTTCTGAAATAAATCACACTTAATCATAGTCTATTATTTATTAGTGTCTAATTATTTAGGATTTTTATATTAATATTCACAAATGAGACACATATGTAGTTTGTTGATGAAATATTTGTCAGCCTTAGGAATCAATATTATACTTGCTTCGTAGAAAAAAATTAACTTTTTCCTTCTTTTTATATGGTCAGGAAGAGTTTTAGGTAGCTTTGAGATGATCAGATCTTAAACCTTTTAATAGAATTCCCCTGTGAAACCATCTATACCTGGTACTACTTTGAGGGGAAACTCTTTAACTGGTTTCTCTATTATTTCTTCCATAATAATTGGACTATTTCATCTTTCTCTCCTTACTGGGCTCTATATGGATAATAGAATATTACAAATTTTCAGGAAGAAAGAGAAATCAGAAAAGAAGGTTGGGAAAGGGTCCCACTTACAAAATTGGCTTTTTTCTTCTCTCTTCCTCTCCTTAAGGTCTTGTACGTGACTCAGCTACAGAGCCTCCTGACGTGAGCATGGCTGAGAGTGAGGACCGCTCTCTGAGGATCGTTCTGGTAGGGAAAACCGGAAGTGGGAAAAGTGGGACAGCGAACACCATCCTCGGAAAGCAAATCTTTAAGTCTAAAATTGCTGCCCAAGCTGTTACCAAGACCTGTCAAAAAGCATCCCGGACCTGGCAGGGGAGAGACCTTCTTGTTGTTGACACTCCAGGGCTCTTTGACACCAAGGAGACCCTGGACACCACTTGCAGGGAAATCAGCCGCTGCGTCCTCGCCTCCTGCCCAGGGCCCCATGCTATTGTCCTGGTTCTGCAGCTGGGTCGCTACACAGAGGAAGAGCAGAAAACCATTGCATTGATTAAGGCTGTCTTTGGGAAGCTAGCCATGAAGCACATGGTCATCTTGTTCACTCGCAAAGAAGAGTTGGAGGGCCAGAGTCTGGATGGCTTCATAGCAGATGCGGATGTGGACCTAAAAAGCATTTTAAAGGAGTGCGGGAACCGCTGCTGTGCCTTTAGCAACAGCAGCCTAACAAGTGAGGCAGAGAAGGAAGCTCAGGTGAAGGAGCTGGTGGAGCTGGTAGAGAAAATGGTGCAGTGCAACAAAGGGGCTTACTTTTCTGACGCCATATACAAGGACACAGAGGAAAGGCTGAAACAACGGGAAGAGGTTTTGAGGAACATCTACACTGACCAATTAAATGAGGAAATTGAACTAGTAGAAAAGGAATATGAGCATAAATCAGAGGAAGAAAAGAAGGAAAAAATAAAATTGCTAAAAATGAAATATGATGAAAAAATTAAAAATATAAGGGAAGAAGCTGAGAAAAATATATTTACAGATGTTTTAAGTAGGATATTGAAGATGCTTTCCAAAATATGGCATACGTTTTGGTAGTAATATAAATTTTATTCTTTCTTCTTAATTTACTATGATTTGTCAATGTGATGAATCGTATCTTCCAAATATAGTTGCAAAAATACCTCCCTCTCCTTAGCTTTATTAAGGTTTCATTGACAAATAAAAATTGAGTATGTTTAGGGTGTATAATATGATGTTTTAATATATGTATATGTACATTGTGAAAGAATTAACTCAAGGTAATTAACACATCGAGCACCTCTTGGTTACTATTTTATTTGGTGTGGTGAGAACATTTGAGGCCTAATCTCTTAGCAAATTTCAAAAATGCGATACAGTATTATTAAGTATAGTCATCATGCTGTATGTTAGATCTCCAGAGCTGATTTATCCTGAATAACTAAAGTTTTGTACCAACAATTCTCCATTTCCCCCAATGCCCAGTCCCTGGCAACCAACATTCTATTCTTTGCTTCTGTGAGTTCTACTTTATAAAATTCCACATGTAAGTGAGATCATGCAATACCTGTCTTTCTGTGCTTAGCTTAGTTTACTTAACATAACGTCCTCTGGGTTCATTGATACTATTGCAAAAGACAAGATTTATTTCTTTTTCAAGGTTGACTAATGTTCCATTATTAATAAAATGTTAATAATGCACCATGTTTTCTTTATCCACTCATCTGTCCATGGACACACTTGGGTTATTTCCTATCTTGGCTATTGTGAATAATGTGTAGTGAGCATGGGAGTGCAGATATTTCTATAATAATGCTCATTGCAGCATTACTCGCAATGGATAAAGATATATTTCAGTGGAATATATATTTATAAGCCATCTAGTTTATGGTATTTTTATAGCAGCCCAAATGGACTAATACCTAAAGGAAATGAAATCTATCTTTATCACACACACACACACACACACACACACACACACACACACATATTCAGTAGAATGTGTGTTTAGTGGAATATAGACTCAGGGGTCTCTGTTGGGCCTCTTTAATGATGGCATGAATTTCATTCATGGGGCCTCTGCCCCCATGACCTAATCACCTCCCTAGGGCCTTTCTCCTTATACCATCACATTGGGGGTGAGGATTTCAATATATGAATTTTGGAGGGACATAATCATTTAGACCATAGCATCCTATTCCTGGCTCCCCAAAATCTATGCCCTTATCATGTGCAAAATACATTACTTTCATCCCAGTAGCCCCAAAAGTCTTGTTCCAGCATCAATTTTAAAATGTAACTTCAAAGTCTCATCTAATTATCATCTAAATCAGTAATGGGTGAGACTTAAAGTACAATTTATTCTGAGGCAAATTGCTTTCCGGTTGTGAATCAGTGAAATCAAGCATATTATGAGCATCGAACATAGTATGGTGGGAGAGGCACAGGACAGACATTCTCATTCTGAAAGGGAAATATAGGAATGAAGAAAGGAGTGACAGTTACCAAGCAAGTCCAACAACCTATGGCTCAAGAATAATCTTTTTTGGCTTGATGCTGTCAAGGTCCACTGATATGGAAGTCCTGCCTTTTGGACTCTTTTTGGTGGTAGTCCAGCCTCCAAAACTTTGCCTGCCCCCACAGCTTTGCTGGGTTCAGCACACACTGCACCAGAACCTGCCAGAGCCGCACCTAGGGGAGCTGAGCAAAATGGCAACAGAGTGTGGGGAGCAGAGTCCAGAATGTGAGGTAACGCTGGGCAGCAGTGGCCCCTCCTTTGAAATTGTTTCGGTCCCCAAGGTCCTAGCCTTCTGTGATGGCGGTCAGCCCCAGGATTTCTGAAATGCCTTTGGGGTCATTCTCCCATTGTCCTCGCTTAGACAGTAGGTCCTTGCTTCTGTTTAGATGGCTCACTGCCTTCATCAATAGTACATGGCTTCCATTGAGATGGCTGATCCATACTAATTTCCTTTGTCAAATGATCAATAGGCCACATCGTTTCTTTTCTGAAAAAGCTTTCTTATTTTTTTCCATTATGGATAGACTAAGAATTTTCCAAATGTTTAAGTTCTACTTCCCTTTGACTAAAAAATCCATTTGTATTTATCTCTTTTCACATTTTACTATAGGCAGTGAACAGAAGCCACACTGTATCTTCAGCATTTTGCTTATAAATTTTCTCAGCCAGATATCCAATTTCATCACTCACAAATTCTACCTTTCACAAAGCACTTGAACAATAACACAACATAGGCAATTTCTTTGCCACTTTATAATAAGGATTTCCGTTCCTCCATTGTCCAACAGCACATTCTTCATTTCTCTCTGAGACCTCATCAGAATGGTCTTTACTACCAATAACCTAAGTTATTGGTGTGTCTACTTAGGTATTTGCTAAGAAAATTGAGGCTTTCTGAACCTCAGTAGAATCATCCTTAATGGTCCATTCAGAGCAATGCAGGCTTTCTCTAGCACAAACCTCTTACTTCCAGCCTTTACTTATTACCCAGGTCCAAAGCTGCTTACACATTTTAGGTGTTTGTTACAGCAGCACCCTCAGTTCTTGGTACCAATTTTTGCTCTTAGTTTGGGCTGCTATTACAAAATACTATAAGCTGCATGGCTTATAAGCAACAGAAATTTATTTCCTATGGTTCTGGAGGCTGAGAAGTCCAAAGCACTGGCAGATTCAGTGTCTAGTGACGGCCCACTTCCTCATAGACATTTATCTTTTCACTCTAACCTCACATGGTGAATGGGACAAGGATTTTCTCTTGAACCTCTTTTATTTTTGTTTTTGTTTTTAAATTTCTTATTGAGCCTCTTTTATAAGTGCACTAATCACATTTATGAGGTCACTACCCCCATGACCTTGTCACCTTTCAAGAGCCCCACCTCCTGTTATCATCACATTGAGCATGAAGATTTCAACGTATCAATTTTGTGGGAACATAAACAATCAGACTGTAACAGATACATATCCAGAAGTGGGATTGGTAGATTATATGGTAGTTCTTATTTTTAATTTTTGGGGGAACTTCCATCCTGTTTTCTATAATGGCTGTACCAATTTACATTCCTGCCAGGGTTATTTTTTTCCCACATTCTTGCCAAAACTTGATATCTTTTGTCTTTTTTATAATAATTCTACTTACAGGTATGAGATAATGTCTCATGTGGTTTTGATTTGCCTTTCATTCATGATTAGTCTTGTTGGACATTTTTTCATATACGTGTCATAAAGATATTTGTGTGTCTTATTTTGAGAAATGTCTGTTCAGGTCCTTTGCCTATTTTTTAAATTGGGTTATGTGTTTAATTGTTGTTGAGTTGTTTAAGTTCCTTCTGTATTTTGAATATTAACCCCTCATCAGATGTATAATTTACAAATATTTTCTTCTATTCCATAGGATGTCTCTTTATTGATTGTATCTTTTGCTATACACAATATGTTTGGTTTGAGGTAACCCTGTTTGCCTATTTTTGTGTTTGTGGCCTGTGCTTCTGGTGTCAAATACAAAAAAAATCACCATCCACATCAAGATTTTTCCTGTGTTTTCTTCTAGTAGTTTACAATTTTAGGCCTAACATATAACTTATTTAATCCACTTTGAGTTAATTTTTTATGCGATTTGAGATAAGGACCCCATTTCATTCTTCTGCAGGTGGATATCCAGTTTTCCCAACACCGTTATTGAAGAAACTATCCTTTCCTCTTGGTTTGTCCAACGGGCCATAAATGTGTAGCCTTATTTCTGGGTTTATTATTCTGTTCATTGGTCCGTATGTCCATTTTTATGCTAATACCGTGATTTTTTATTACTATAACTTTGTTTTAATTATAATAGTATGTTTTGATTGCTAGAGCTTTGATTCGATTATTGTATTTTGAAATCAAGTAGTTCGAGGGCCCCAGCTTTGTTCCTTTTGTTGAAGATTGTCTTGGTTACTTAGGGTCTTTTGTGGTTTCATATAGATTTTAGATTCTTTTTTACTCTTGTGAAAAATGGCATTAGAATTTTGATAGAATTTCATTGACTATATAGATTGCTTCGGGTAGTAAAGACATTTTAACAATATTACTTTAATCCATAAACATTATATATATATAAAATATTATATATATAAATATATATATATTTGTATTTATTTGTGTCATCTTCAATTTCTTTTATCGACATTTTATAGTTTTCAGTGTATAGATCTTTCACTTCCTTGTTTAAATCTATTCCTGAGTCTTTTTGGGGTAGCTATTGTAAATGGGATTCTTTAATTTCTTTTTGTGTAGTGAACTGTTAGAGGTAGAAAGACAACTGATTTCTGTAATTTTTTTTTTCATGTGGAGTCTTTGGTTCTCTTTTTTCTTTTTCTTTCTTTTTTTTTTTTTTTTGAGACAGCCTCGCTCTGTCGCCAGGCTGGAGTGCAGTGTCACGATCTCGGCTCACTGCAACCTCTGCCTCCTGGGTTCAAGTGATTCTCTTGCCTCAGCCTCCCAAGTAGCTGGGACTGCAGACACGCGTCACCACACCCAGTTAATTCTTTTGTATTTTTAGTAGAGATGGGGTTTCACCATGTTGACCAGGATGGTCTTAAACTCCTGACCTTATGACCCGCCCACTTTGGTTTTCTATGTATAACATCATGCCATCTGTAAACAGAGGTTATTTTATGTCTTTCTTTCCAATTTGGATATCTTTTATCTCTATTTCTTGCCTAATTGCCCTGGCTAGAACTTCAAGCACCATGTTAGAAGTGGCAAGAGTTAGCATTCTTGTCTTGTTCCAGATCATACAGGGAATGCTTTCAGCTTTTCAACATTGAGTATGATGTTACCTGTGAGCTTGTCATAGGTGGCCTTTATTATGTTGAGGTGCATTCTTTCTCTTTTTTTTTTTTTCAACTTTTATTTTAGGTTCAGGGATATATGAGAAAGCTTGTTACATAGGCAAACTAGCATTTTGTTGTGCAGATTATTTTATCACCCAGGTGATAAGCCCAGTACCCAACAGTGATTTTTACTGCACCTCTCCCTACTCCCACTGTTCACCTTAAAATTGACCACAGTGTCAGCTGTTTCCTTTTTTGTATTCATAATTTTTTATCACTTAGCTTCCACTTATAAGTGAGAACATGCAGTTTTTGGTTTTCTGTTCCTACATTAGTTTGCTAAGGATAACAGCTTCCAGCTCCATCCATGTTCCCACAAAAGACAAAACCTTATTCGTTTTTTAGTTGCAGAGTATTCCATGGTGTATATGTGTCATATATTTTTTTTAATCAAATCTGTCACTAATGGGCATTTAGGTTAATTCCATGTCTTTGCTATTGTAAATAGAGCTGCATTGTACATTCCTGTGCATGTGTCTTTATGGTAGAATGATTTATATGCCTCTGGGTATATACTAAGTAATGAGATTGCTGGGTTGAATGGTAGTTCTGCTTTTAGCTCTTTGAGAAATTGCCATACCACTTTCCACAATGACTGAACTAATTTACACTCCTACCAACAATAGATAAACATTCCCTTTTCTCTGCAACCTCAGCAGCATTTGTTATTTTTCTGACTTTTCAGTAATAGCCATCCTGACTGGTGTGAGATGGTACCTCATTGTGGTTTTGATTTGCATTTCTCTAATGATCAGTAATGTTGAGCTTTTTTTCACATGCTTGTTGGCCACATGTATGTCTTCTTTTGAAAAGTGTCTGTTCATGTCCTTTGCTCACTTTTTAATGGGGTAGCTTGGGTTTGTTTTCTTGTTCATTTATTTAAGTTCCTTATATGTGCTGGATATTAGACCTTTGTCAGATGTGTAGTTTGCAAAAGTGTTCTTTCATTCTGCAGATTATCTGAGTACTCTGTTGATATTTCATTTGTTGTGCAGAAACTCTTAATTCGATACTGCTTGTCAGTTTTTGCTTTTGTTTTGATTGCTTTTGGTGTCAGTCGTGACATTCTTGCCTATTCCTATGTCCAGAATGATATTGCCTAGATTGTCTTCCAGGGTTTTCATACATTTGGGTTTTCCATTTAAGGCTTTAATCCATCTTGAGTTGATTTTTGTATGTCTTGCAAGGAAGGGGTCCAGTTTCAATCGTCCACATATGGCTAGCCAGTTTTTCCTGTACTACTTATTAAATAGGGAGTCTTTTCTCCATTTCTTGTTTTTGTCAGCTTTGTCAAAGATCAGATGGTTGGAGATGTGTGGCCTTATTTCTGGGCTCTCTAATCTGTTCCATTGGTCTACATACTTGTTTTTATACCAGTACAATGGGGTTTTGGTTATTGTACTATAGTTTGTAGTATAGTTTGAAGTGGGTACTGTGATGCTTCCAGATTTGTTCTTGTTTAGGATTACTTTTGCTATTCAGGCTCTTTTTTGGTTCTATATGAATTTTAAAATCGCTTTTCCCTAGTTCTGTGGAGAATGTTTTGGTAGTCTGATAGCAATAGCATTTAATCTGTAAATTGCTTTGGGCATTATGGCCATTTAAACAATATTAATTCTTTATCTTCATGAGCATGGAATGTTTTTCCATGTGGTTGTGTTCTATTCTGATTTTCTTTAACAGTGTTTTGTAATTTTTTTTTTTTTGTAGAGATCTTTTACCTCCCTGGTTAGCAGTATTTCTAGGTATTTTATTCTTTTTGTAGCAATTGTGAATGAGATTGTCTTCCTGATTTGCCTCTTGGTTTGGCTCTTGTTGGTGTATAAGAATGCTAGTGACTTTTGTACATTGATTTTGTATCCTGCAACTTTTCTGAAGTTGTTTATCAGCTCAAAGAGATTTGGGGCTAAGACTATGGGGTTTTCTAGACATAGAATCATGTTGTCTGCAAACAGAGATAATTTGACTTCCTCTCTTCCTATTTAGGTGTTTTTCATTTCTTTCTCTTATCTGATTGCTCTGGCTAGGACTTCATTCTATGTTGAATAGAAGTGGTGAGAGAGGACATCCTTGTCTTAATGCTTGTTTTTAAGGGGAATGCTTCTAACTTTTGCCAATTCAGCAACGTTAGCTGTGGGTTTGTCATAGATGGCTCTTACTATTTTGATGTATGTTCCTTCAATGTCTAGTTTATTGAGATTTTTTAACAAGAAGCGATATTGCATTTTATCAACAGCATTTTCTGTGTCTAATAGTCATGTTGTTTTTGTCTTTAGTTCTCTTTATGCGATGAATCACATTTATTGATTTGTGTATGTTGAACTTGTATAGCAAAAATAAAGCCTAATTGACCATGGTGGATTCGCTTTTTGATGTGCTGCTGGATTCAGCTTACCAGTATTTTGTTCAGATTTTTGCATCAAAGTTTGTGGGGGTCTGTCCTACAGACCCTGCCTAAGTGACAGATGAGTAATGTACACTCAAACACAGAATACAGTGGAAGAGTGAGCAGGGCTGTCTGGGCCATTCACTCAAAGGAGTTAATGGCAGCTGGCCTGAGCAACTCCAGGCTTTTATTTAGTATATCAAAGGGCAAGGGTCTTTGGATCAACACCATTAGTGGGCAATTAACTTCTGCCCACCCCCTAAATAAAAGACATTTAAGCACGTAAGGATGATCAAAGGTTTTGCTAATGGAGGTAAAGGTAAACAGACTTATCTTGAGAAACTTCTTTTATTATTTGTAGTATTTACTGTCCTAATGCCCTAAACTAAAAGCCAGTCACCTTCCACCCATTCAGTCACTACATGCTGTGTAAACCTTTGGCCTTTCAAAAAGATTTGTGACTATTCCGTAAAGCTATGCCTAATGTTTTTCCTTTAATGTTTTTGCCACCACCCTGAGTGAACCCCCACATCTCCCTCCTTTTTGTTTATTTTTTTAAATATAGTTTTATTGCATTTTAGGTTTTGGGATACATGTGAAGAACATGCAAGATTGTTGCATAGGTACATACATGGCAGTGTGGTTTGCTGCCTTCCTCCCCATCACCTATATCTGGCATTTCTCCCCATGTTATCCCTCCCCAACTCCCCACCCCCTGTTGTCCCTCCCCTAGTTCCCCCGCCACAGACCCCAGCGTGTGATGCTCCCCTCCCTGTGTCCATGTGTTCTCATTGTTCAACACCCGCCTATGAGTGAGAACATGTAGTGTTTGATTTTCTGTTCTTGTGTCAGTTTGCTGAGAATGATGGTTTCCAGTTTCATCCATGTCCCTACAAAGGACATGAACTCATTGTTTTTTATGGCTGCATAGTATTCCATGGTGTATATGTTCCGCATTTTCCCTGTCCAGCCTATCGTCAATGGGCATTTGAGTTGTTTCCAAGTCTTTGCTATTGTAAACAGTGCTGCAATGAACATTTGTGTGCATGTGTCCTTACAATGGAAAGATTTATAATCCTTTGGATATATACCCAGTAATGGGATTGCTGGGTCAAATGGAATTTCTATTTCTAGGTCCTTGAGGAATCTTCACACTCTCTTCCACAATGGTTGAACTAATTTACACTCCCACCAACAGTGTAAAAGTGTTCCTATTTCTCCACATCCTCTCCAGCATCTGTTGTCTCCAGATTTTTTAATGAT